TGAAACAGCTGTGTGCAATCAGTGCTGTGTGCAATCAGTGCAATGACTGATGGGATATGTAGTCTGGGGTGATCTGCAACAGTGTGTAGGGCGAGAGTCAATGAAAAATGGAAAGGGTGACCTCTGATGGCTAGCAGACAGAAGTTCATGGACCGGATTCGTGACAATTATACTAAGCTTTTTCCCCCAGAGTTAGATGCATGCTTCACAGTTAAAGTTATTAAATAACTAGGCCTATTATAACATTGCATTCCATTAGAGAGCAAAGGAACGACAACATAACCAGTAGATTATTGGTTTTGTATTGCTTTTTACCTTCTCTCGAAACTCTATCGTTTTTTTTTTTTTTAGAAAATTCAGGAAATTTTCTATTCTTCTTTTTAGCATTTATTTTAGGCTATAGAACACAGGCGGAGGTGTTTTATCCTATTGGTGATTAATATAAAATAAACACTAAGAAGACTAGGCCTATTTTGTGAGTGGGGCTCATGTTACGAACGGCGAGTTAAATCCCTACTCAAAGAGCAATAAATTGGTCCATAACAGTTAACAGGGATCCATCTAGGAAAGATCCCTGGGGTCCCCGCTCTCATTCTCTCAATTTGTCAACCACAAAACACTTAAGTGCAAATAAAAGTAAGTTTATTAACAAAAGAAACAAAGGAGCATCATACTTCCTCCTCTCCTAACGGCTCTAAAAGTAAAGTTAGGAGGGGCTGTTTCATTGAGGACTGTTGCACTGCATCTGTCTTCAAGGCATGTTTCATTTAGAAAAATAAAATCCAGGTTGTTTGTGGTTATTAAGTCATTGATCAGAAATTATTTATTTTTTAGTGAGCGAATGTTTAAAAATGCTAACGTGATGGCATTCCTTTGTGTCTTTACAGCAATCTTATTTTGATGCATAATAGGCCGCAGATTAGATGGGTCAGTCATATGGCTTGAGAAGGCCTTAGACTTTCTATCACGTGATAAAACAGAAATAGAGAAAGCTACAGGCACACTGGGTTCCCACTTGTTCTGTAAACATTTGTGAATGTTGCTGCTATCGTAGTGGGGACCCAACACATATCACTGAGAGCTGTTACAAGACACAAAATAGCTGCAAGACGTAAAGGATTGGAAATTCCTGAGAAACACATTTGATGTTCGGATTGTATGGACCATTTGGTTCACACCTTTACAGACAGAGAAGCACTTGCATCTGGGGCAGATTCAATGTAACTGAATCTTATATTCTCACCATCTAAAAAATGCAACTGACATAATCTTTCAATAGACCATTTAATGGCTTTTTATCTTTTCAGAATTCACTCAATAAACAGTAATAATAATAATAAATGTATAAAAATCCAAACGATTGTTTATGGCAAAATAAATTATAATACGTTTATTGTAAAATCTCAAAATTTTATCAAACATCAAACTGTAGCCCTGGTAAAATGGACAGATCAATGAATGATTGAATGAATGAATAAAGACAATTGATTTCATATTGATTGTGCACTTTAACTTAACACTTAACTTAAAGGGTTAGTTCACCCAAAAATGAAAATTAGCCCATAAATTACTCTCAAGTCATCCTAGGTGTATATGACTTTCTTCTTTCAGACGAATCCAGTCGGAGTTATATTAAAAATTGTCTTTGATCTTTCAAGCTGTTTAATGCCACTC